CTCTCTCTCTCTTTCTTACCTCCCCTCTTTGCACGGTTTCCCCCAGGGCAGTAGGCGACCCGAGGAGGAGGAGGAGGAGGAGGAGGAGAAGGAGGAGGGAGGAGGGAGGGAGGAGGAGGAGGAGGAGGAGGAGGAGGACGGGTCGCCTAAGCCCTTCGGAGAAACCCTCCACCCCTCTTTCCTGCCTCTGCCGTGCCGCCTCAACGGGAGACTCTGCGCCACCCGTTCGCCTAGCATGGCCTGCCGGTGTACCTGCAAGGCAAGGCTGGGCGCGGCCCGTGTCGCCGGGCTTCCCAGCCACCTGATCCTCCTCTGGAGGGCAGAGAATCCACCCCCAGAATAATCACCCCGACACTCGAAGCCGCTTAGTAAACGCGCCCAAAGAAGGAATCGAGCAGGGCAAGGCTGTTTTGTAAACGCCCAAGGCCCGTTCAGTAAACGCCAATTGTCGGGTGCGGGTGGTTTTTCCTCCCTTGATCTTCGCTGCTTCTTCTTCTTCTTCTTGTTTCTTCTCAGCTGGCCTGAGGTCGGGCATGTCCTCCTACAGGCGGATTTAGGGCGAAGCTTCAAACATATACAAATAATTTTTGAAAATAATCGGGAATCGTCCGCTGACTATTTTTCTACTACTTTGGAATATTCCTCCTGTAGCGGGACAAGCCCAACTTCAAGCTGGCCCCCTCCTGTAGCCGTCACTCGTTTCACTCGCGCACGCTTCAGCCCGTCAGTGGCACCCTTTTGGCACTCGCTGCCACGGCAGGCTGGCGCCGTTCTTACAGTGGCCCCCCGCTCCTCCTCCTCCTCCTCCTCCTCCTCCTCCTCCTCCTCCTCCTCCTCCTCCTCCTCCTCCTGCTTCTTCTGCTCCTCCTCCTCCTCCTCCTCCTCCTCCTCCTCCTCCTCCTCCTCCTCCTCCTCCTCCTCCTGCTCCTCCTCCTTCTCCTCCTCCTCCTCCTCCTCCTCCTCCTCCTCGGCGCGCCCCACTAAGAGCTCGACCAACCCTGACCGAGTCCGTGGGCCGCTTCCCTCATCCTGTACCGTCTGGCTCTTGAGCTCGCCTACGCGCACTTCTTGGCTCGATTACTGCACGCCTTCTCGAGGAAGCCAGTTCGATGCAAGAGTGGCCCGTCACGTCGCTTCCGCGATTTGGACTCCGCCGCGCGTTGGAGAAAAGGTATGCGCTCACGGGCCTAAACTCTCGACGTCGGCTGTGTTCGCAGAGGCGAGAGTGGGGAACACCACTCGTCGGTCGGAAGAAGTGGGTAGAAACATGAAGTAGGAAGGCGTTGGAAGTAGACTGGGCCTCCGCCCATCCCCTTGGAGAGGAGGGAAGAGGGGGGAAAACCGCCCGACCCTTGAAGCAGGAAGGCACCTAAAGTAGAGTGGGATCTGGGAATCAAAAATCACCGCCTTCCAAAGACCGGCGTGGGCATGGCTGTGGGCCCCTTTCCGGGGCCCCAGACCTGGCCAAAGCGGCGCTTTCCCCCCGAAAGGGAGAGAAAGCGGAGGGGGAGGATGAGGTCCGCCTGAGGACAGAGAGACTGAGAAGTTCGGCGGCCAGCCCAGGGCGAAGTAAGAAGGGGCGGGCCTTATCAAAAGGCTCGGAAGTCCCTCGGCATTCTGTCCCAGAAGGCACAGAAACTTCTCAGAAGGCGCGAGGGCCTCTGAGAAGTCCCGCCGCCCTCTGGGAAGGCCTCTCCTTCTCACTTCCCCCCCTCACTGGCCGCCGAACTTGAGCCAGCCGATGGTGCGACGCCGCCGGGGGGGGAGAGGGCGGGTGTGTCTGCATCGTTCGCCTCCCCCTGGCCCTGCTCCTGCCTCCCGGTGCACCTTGCCCGAGCTGCGGCATGCTTACACTGCCCCCGCAGGTGTGCTCGTGTTACGGCCTCCTGCAGCTGCTGGCCACCCGTGGCGGATGATGGCAGATCTGCGCGTGGCGCGGGCGACGTGCTGGGCACCAGCTCATCGCGAGCCGAGGCCGTGGCCCTGCTCTCCGGGGAGCTCTTCTCCTCGTGCCCCCCTCCGCGCGGCCAGCCGCCTCACTCCTCCTCCTCCTCCTCCTCCTCCTCCTCCTCCTCCTCCTCCTCCTCCTCATCATCATCATCATCATCATCATCATCATCATCATCATCATCATCATCATCCTCCTGCTCCTCCTTCTCCCCCTCCCCCTCCCCCTCCTCCTCCTCCTCCGCGGCGCGCCCCCATAAGAGCTCGACCGACCCAGACCGAGTCCGTGGGCCGCTGACAAAAAGCGCGTGTTGTGTGGCGTCTGCGCCGAGCTGTGCTCTGTGGTGTCGTGTACCGCTACAGTGAGCTACGCTGCGTTTTTACGTGTGTGCTGTATCGTGTTGAAAGTGATGTGCTGTGTTCTGTGATGTATAGTACGCATGTGTTGTGCCTTGTGCATGATATATTGTGTGCTGCGTGATGTGCGTTAATATTTAAGTGATGGGTGAAGTGCGTTGTGTTGTATGCTGTGTTATGCGATGTGTGTGTGTGTGTTGAGCGTTGTCTGACGTGTGGCAAGTCCGCTGTAGATTGTGTGTTGTGCGCTGAACGTTGTGTTGCGCGTATATTGTGTTATGCGCTGCGTGGTACCTTGCTGTGTTATGCGGCGTTGTGTTGTGTTGTGTTGTGTTATGCTGTGCTGTGCTGTGCTGTGTTGTGTTGTGGTGTGGTGTGGTGTGGTGTGGTATGGTGTGGTGTGATGTGGTGCGGTGTGGTGTGTTGGTGTGTCATGTTCGGCTGCGCTGTGTTGTGCTGTGTTGCGTAATGTTGTGTTGTGACGATAATATTGTTGTGTTGTGATGTGCTGTGTTCCGGTACTATGTGTTGTGTGGTGTAGCGTGTTGTGCTGCTTTGATGCGTGTTACGTCATGATGATTAGAGTGTGTTGCGTTGCGCTATGGCACGGTATGTTGTGCGAGTGCGTGTGCCAGCGTGTGTCGGGCCAAGTGCTGCTTCTTGGTGCTGCTACCTGCAAAATGGTATGGCTCACCACCGCATCGGGGCCCACGAGCGCCGATATAGTTGCAAGCAAGCCAAAAAAAAAGCTTCCAGTGGAGGCTGTGGCGCATGCCGACCCCACTCAGCCCCCCCCCACACACAAAAACACACGCGCAAGCACACACAGACACACACACACACACACAGGTTTAAGTCAGCGGCGCAGAGGGTCCTCAGGCGCGAGCAGCATGTGGAAGTGCCAATTGCGCCTGAGCATTGTCGACCGCGCAGCGTACAAGAGTCGCACACTACACCATGCAAGCGATGGGTGGGCTAGAGGAACTGTAGGTCCAAAAGCACATGCAGCGGCCAGAAAACGAGGAGAGTACTCAACTCAAAGTGAACTGAAGCACGACAGCCCGAGGCGAACTGCGGCCACTGAATCACCAGAGCGGTGTTAGACAGTGAAGCGCACACAACACACGCACACACACACATACACACACACACACACCGCGGTGGCAGAGGTGCGCGGCAGCGCAACTAGATGGCAGAAGTGGCGGGCGTACATCCGATCCAGTCGGTCCTCGACGTCTCGACGCGCCCAAGCACGGCCCGAGCAAGGCTCGCCTCCACCTTGGGCCCCAACTTGAACGTGGAGATGTACTTGCCGAATTCGTCCTCTCGCAGGCGTCCAAGTCCAGACAAAGTCGCAGCAGCAGCAACGGGGCAACAGCTGCAGCATCAGAATCAGGGAGAGGCAGAAGAGGAGTAGGACAAAGAGTGGGAAGGAGACGAGGAAGGGGATGCGCGGGAGCAGCAGAAGGAAGAGGAGAAAGACGAAAGGGAGGAAAAACAAAGAGGAGCGAGCGAAGCGCTAATCCGCCATATGCGGCGAGGCGCGTATACCCGTGCCCGGCTGGGCAAGGCGCGCGAGGCCGTAGCCTCCATCAGAAATTGCAACAGTCATGATCACCTGAGGTCCATCACGACCGCGTCGCTGCTTGCAACCATATGATGTCATTGCTGTCAGAGTGTTGAAATTGTCGTGATCGCGTAACGTCACTGGTGTCGTTGCCGGCGCTTGCCGTCGCTTGGGCTCTTGCTGCACAAGAACTTCCGTGTGTCGTCGCAACACCGTCGCTGCTGTCCGCCATGATGTCTCCAACCCTGTGGGTTGATGCTCTGGCCAGGGATCAAATTCAGCGCTCGTCGTGTCCACCTCTCTGTAGGGAGGGACGCGGAGAACACGCGGAAGAGGACGGGGGGAGGAGTGGAGAAGCATCAACAGCATCACCAGCATCAGCACCATCAGCAGCAGCATCAGCGGCAGCGGCAGCAGCACATGGTGGAGGGGGGGACGTAGAAGTGGAATCAGGATGGCTAAACCAATGATTAGCAGGACAAGGATGAAGGCTAAAGCGAGACACGGGAGGGGCAGTAGCAGCAGCACATGGAGGATAGGAGGCGAAGGAGGACGAGAAGTACCAGGAGGACAAGGAGGAAACGAGAGGTGAGATCATGCGATGTGCTATCAGGCGAGCCACATCCATACGAGGTCATCTGCGCAGGACCAGCTCAAATGAGCTGGCAGCTGCAGGATGCTACCTGGCCACTTGGTTCGCATGACGGGGCGGGGGCGGGAAGAGGAGAAAGAGGAGAAGGAAAAGGAGGAGGAGGAGGGTGATAAGGGATCAATAACGGTAGAGATGAGGAGACGGAGAACGAAGAGAAAGACGAGTGCAAGGACGACTCTGAGGATGAAGGAGAAGGAGGGATGTTCGGGCGCATGATTCAGTACTCCCTCCTGCACATCCTCCTTGAATCCCTTCGAACCGCCCTTGCACACCTAGAAGCCCTGGAATCGCCCTAACTACCCCGGCCCGCCTCCTACTCGTTTCCTCCCCTCCCTCGTCCTCCCGCATCCTCTAAACCCCTCCCCATCCCCATGCTGACTCCTCCTCCTCCACATCCTACTCCTCCTTCCCCCTCCTCTTCCTCCTCCAGCCCATCATCCTCATCATCAGCATCATCATCATCATCATCATCATCATCATCATCATCATCATCATCACCATCACCATCACCATCATCATCATCGTCATCATCATCATCAGCATGATCATCATCATCATCATCGTCATCGTCATCGTCCTCATCATCATCATCATCATCATCATCATCATCATCATCATCATCATCATCATCATCATCATCATCATCATCATAATCAGCATCATCATCATTGTCATCAGCAGCAGCATCACCGTCACCATCATCATCCTTATCATAATCATCATCAGCATCATCATTGTCAGCATCAACATCATCAGCATTAGCATCAGCATCAGCATCAGCATTATCTTCATCATCCTCATCAGCATCAGCATCATCACCACCACCATCATCAGCATCATCAACATCATTAGCATCATCATCATCATCATCAGCATCATCGTCATCATCATCATCATCATCATCATCATCAGCATCATCATCATCATCATCATCATCAGCATCATCGTCATCATCATCATCATCATCATCATCATCATCATCATCATCATCATCATCATCATCATCATCATCATCATCATCATCATCATCATCATCATCATCATCATCATCATCATCATCATCATCATCATCATCATCATCATCATCATCATCATCATCATCATCATCATCATCATCATCATCATCGTGCTTGCGCGCAGCCGAGGGGCCGACTCGAGTGCACCAAAAGTTCCTGGCATCAGTTGCCAATCGCACAGCCTCCTTGAGCTGCCAAGCCTCGCAGGGTTTGCTCGAGTCCAGCGACGCGCAACGTTCCGTCTCGGCAGCCGCTCACTGGCACGGGTGGCAATGGTCGGCGTGGAGGCCACGACGGTTCCACCAAGTGGTCGAATTGGCAGTACAGATGGACGTGGAAGACCCGCTCGAGCTACTTCAACTGCGGCCACCGCCTGGCCCCACCCTCCTCGCCCGCGAGGGCGGCCGAGGGCGCGCGGGCCGACAAAGGCCCCGCGGGAGCTGGCGCCCCCAGCGGGCGCGGGGGCAGATCGCGCAGCCGCCCGCCGCGGCGCGACGCCAAGGGGAGCGGCGACGGCGGCGAGGGGGGCACGGCCGTCGCCAAACTCGCGCGGGAGGAGACGCTGCTGGAGACCCTCCAGCGCCGCAAGGAGGAGCTCCCAGAAGCCGCCACCAAGGCCCTCGAGGGACTGGCGGCGGCGCTGCAGCCCGCCCCCGCCGCGCCCAAGCCCGAGCTGCCACCGAGGCCCTCAACGAGGCCATGGACGCCACGGCTCTCGCCCAGCGCCAGGAGCGCGAGGACGAGCTCGCCGTCGAGTACGCCGCGGCCCCGGAGGAGCAGACGCGCGCCATCGCGCACGCCAAGGGCCGCGTGGAGAAGCGGGACCAGGCGCCGACAGCTCCAGTCTCGGTCAACCTCTCCTCGGTGCTGGAGGGCTGCGAGGGCCTCTGCTTCGAGCTCGGGCCCGCCTTCGACCTCGACGGCATCGCCCTCACCCCGCGGGGGCAAGCGGACAGGGACGCCACCCTCGAGAGGTTCAGAGCGGACTTCTCCAAGCAGGTGGAGACCACGTCCAAGCCCGAGGCGGACGAGCTCGAGGAGCGGCGCGAGGCCCTCAAGAAGCTGCAGGAGGACTGCCGCTCGAGGACCAAGAAGCACCGCATGGAGCGCGAAGCTGATCGGCCGGACACCCCAATGCCGGCGGCGAGCCTGCTGGCGGCGGCGACGATGCCGATAGGGCCTCCGCGGCTGCCCCAGACCCCGAGGGCGGGCCGCCCCCCGCGGCAGCCAGTCAGCGCTCGGCCCCCCGCCCCGCCGCTCGCAGCGCCGCACCCACCTCGGAGCGGCTCGCAGAGCCTCAAGGCCGCGGCGCGAGCCGACCGCGCCCCCCGCACCCAGGGCAGCCCGCCGGCTTCCCAGCGGCCAGCGCCGCCGCGGGGGCCGCAAGCTCGGGCGGACCTTCACCTTCATCTCGGCGAGCGGCTCGGGCTGGGGACCCCTCGCGCCCCCGCGGGGCCGCCCACGTGATGGCTCGCGGGCCATGGCGCACAAGACGCACGCGGGGCAATGCTGGCTCGCGCAGGAGACGCACCACCACGCCGACGGTGCAACACGCGAGGAACAGTGGCTTCGACGGCAGGGACTGCGAGGCGCCCTCACGCCAGGCACCAGCAGGCCGGACAGCCTGAATGTGCGGCGGCGCCGCGCGGCCTCGGGCGGGACTGAAGGGCGGCGCGGTCTGGCCGAGGCGCGGCCCGCCCGCTACACTCCACCTCCACCGCTGCCGAGCCTGTCGCCAGAGCCGACCCCCAGCATGTGCATGCGGGTCGCTGCACGCCCCTGCACATAGAGGGCATCAAGCGCGGAGGCATCCTGGCTGCCGGCGTCTACCTAGAGAACGACCACCTCGGAGCCACCTCCTGGAAGTCCCGCGGGCGCTCGGGCGCGTGCCGGGTGCGTCTGGACGGTCGTTGGCTGTCGGAGGTGACTTCAACGTGGGACCTGAGCTCTTCTCCACCGAGGCTAGACGCTGGCTGGAGGGGGTGCGGGGCCAGGTGGTCAGCAACGTGGAGGGCCTGGGCACCTGCCACTATGCCGTCGACGCGCCGCCCTCAGAGCTGGATGTCGTCATCGTCTCCCTCGACCTCGCCCACAGGATCGAGACCTACCGCATCATCGACGCCCCTGCTTTCCAGCCTCACCGCGCAGTGGCTCTCACACTGGAGAAGGGAGAGGGGGGGCCTTGGGAGCGGAGGCCGGCAGCTCCCGGGCCCTTTCCCCAGGAGAGGCCCGCGGGCCAGTGCTGGAGGCCGAACCCGTCGACGTCACCATCCAGGCGCTCTGCGAGGTGGCGGATTCCCAGGACGAGCTCAACCAGGCCCACCTCGGCATCATGGGCCACGTGGAGCAGGGGCTGCTGCAGCACTTCCACGTCGACCCGACGAGACGGGAGCCTCCCCGCGCGCCACCGCCGGCCGCGCCCGCCGCGCGACCCGGGCGGGCGCCTGCAGCCCAAGGCCTGCGGCAGGGCGAGGCCGCTCGCGGCGGCGGCGCCGTGGCTGCGACGGGCCTCGGGGCAGCCCCCCGCCGCGGCTCTCCGCGGGCTGCCCCCCGCCCGGCGGGCCTCAATCCGAGGGGCGCCGCCCCGAGAGCCTGCCCAGCGCATCGTGCGGGCCGAGGCCCTGGAGGCGGAGGCGGCGGCGCTCGCAGACGCTCTCCGCGCCGCCCAGGCGACTTGCCCGACGGGGCCGCCCCCCCCCGCCCTGAAGCTGCGAGGAGGAGCGGCCCGCGCCCGCGGGAGAGGCCCGCAGGGCTGGCTGCCTGACGGGATCGTGGGCGGCGCTGCCGTGGGGGGGGCCAGGCTCGGGCTGGCGCCGCGGGCAGGTTCTGGGCCCAGGGCGTCTGGGCCCTCGGGGGCCCTGCCTCCCCGACCACACCCAGCGGCAACGCTGATCGGCGGGGCGGCCGCGGACCGTCGACCCGACCCTAAGAAGGACGGACAGGCGACCGACAACGACGGCGACGGCGACGACGACGACGACGACGACGACGGCGACGACGACGACGAGCGAAAGCGAGAGCGAGAGAGAACGACAGCAGGGCCACAAGGACACGAAGTAGGCCACGAAGGGCGACAGCGGGGACACGAAGGGAATGCGTATGGGGCCACGAAGAGCGCGAACGAGCGGGGGCCACGAAGGGCATACGTATACTGGGCCGCGGAGGGCAAGGACGGGGCCACTGAGGGCAGCAACGGGGCCACGAAGGGCAGCGAGGGGGCCACGAAGGGCGACAGCGGGGCCACGAAGGGCAGGAAGGGGGCCACGAAGGGCGACAACGGGGCCACGAAGGGCATGCGCATGGGGCCACGACGGGCGCGAACGATCGGGGCCACGAAGGGCAGATCATGCGGGGCCACAGAAGGCAACGACGGGGCCACTGAAGGTAGCAACTGGGCCACGTAGGACAGTGAGGGGGCCACAAACGGCGACAGCGGGGCCACGAAGGGCATGCACATGGGACCACAACGGTCGCGAACGAACGGGGGCCACGAAGGGCATACGTATACTGGGCCGCGGAGGGCAAGGACGGGGCCACTGAGGGCAGCAACGGGGCCACGAAGGGCAGCGAGGGGGCCACGAAGGGCGACAGCGGGGCCACGAAGGGCATGCATATGGGGCCACCACGGGCGCGAACGAGCGGGGGCCACGAAGGGCATACATATATGGGGCCACGAAAAGCAGCGAGGGGGCCACGAAGGGCAGCGAGGGGGCCGCGAAGGGCTGCAACGGGGCCACGAAGGGCTGCGACGGGGCCACGAAGGGCAGCGAGGGGGCCACGAAGGGCTACAACGGGACACGAAACAAAGCGAGGGGGCCACGAAGGAACGCAACGGGGCCACGAAGGGCAGCGAGGAGGCCACGAGGGGCTGCAACGGGGCCGCGAAGGGCAGCGAGGGGGCCACGAAGGGCTGCAACGGGGCCACGAAACAAAGCGAGGGGGCCACGAAGGGCTGCAACGGGGCCACGAAGGGCAGCGAGATCCCGATTGTTAGGTAATCTGTGAGGGAGTCCTAAACGTGAGCGCGACTCCTGGGTGCGTGGGTGTCGGGAGCACGGCGCTTGAATAAATTGCAAGGATGTCCACTGCAAGGACGATATTCTTCAGTAAATTGCAAGCAAATCTCCAGCGAGAGCGCAACTCCAGAGCGCCGGGAGAGCGATTCCTGAATAAATTGCAAGGAAGTCCCAAGCGAGAGCGCGATTCCTGAATAAAATGCAAGGAAGTCTCGGGCGGGAGCGGGGGTCCTGGCTAAACTGTGAGGAAGTCTCAGGCGGGAGCTGTTGTAACCCGGGGGCCAACGACACAATTTGACCCTCAAGACTTCCCCTGAAAAAAACAGGGTGCGAGCCCCGGGAAGGGCACATCAATCGAGAAAAAACAATGTGCACCAGACGGGGAGGATCAACAATAATTATTCTTCAGAAGTGAGAGTTCAACAACAACAACAGCATAGCATCA